TCGGGTTACACGATCAAACCGAATCAGCAGGCATCACGAACTTACACGATGTGACGGGCCTCTTGACCACAGCGGACGCGGACGCGGGCATTGTCGGCGCGATAAAGGCGTGAGAGAGGGGGAGGAGGAGGGGAAGGAGGGGGAAGAGGAAAGCAGAGCAGGATGGCGGCGCCTGCGTACGTCTTCTACCGAATCCCATGGTACTTTTACGGGTTGCGCGCGATTTTCACCAGCACTGCGTACGAGTAATTACTGTGGCATAGATGTGGGTGGCAAAATAATGCGTGCATTGCGGAGCGTGCGGGAGAAGAAGAAAGCGAAAGAGAAGGAAGAAAGTCAGAGAGGAGACAAGCGGGCGTTCTGCCGACGAGTCAGCACGACAGGGCCTTGACATGCATCCGGCAGATATATGCCCGGTGCCCACCGCGAAGTCGTCCTTCGCACTCCAACAATACTGGTACGGGACAGCCGAGCCTTTGAGTCAGCGCCGCGGGGGCGGGACGATGGCTTGTGTCGGGACGAGGTCTGAAGGAGCTCGCTCTCAGCGAAGCTTCCGCATGGGGCCGCCGACAAGAACCTAGGAAAGACAAGCGCGGGTGGTCCGGAGACCAATACCCGAGCACCAGGATTCCTTGTTCCTTGTCGTCTCTTTTTCCTGCACGTGTGTCTTCGTCCTGGTCGTGGGAATGATGCTGGCCTCGTCTAGGGGCGCCTCAGGATTGCGCCCCTCGCCCTCCGCGCCTCAAGAGCCCATCTCGCCCGTGCTCACCCTCACAAGGTGGTGCACCCGTCTCACCCATCGCACCTCCCTCTTACCAGCAAGTTATACAGCATGAGTGACAATGGGGAAAACGGGGAGCCTGGTCGCGACGGTGGTGGAGGGGCCGGAGGGCGCGGCCCCCCCAACATCGACGGCATGACGGTAAGAGAACAATATACCTTCTTTGAGCCCGGGTTGAGAGGGAAGTAAAGGCAGCCTGTTTTAACGGATGATTGAAGAGTCGCCTGGGTGCTTGGAGAAATAGGGACCGGGAAGTGTCGCGCGGATGGAGGTTGTGGAGACTGAGACGGGCTGTGAGCCTTGGGAGAAGCGTCGGAGTGATGCCGAATGGCGAGGGCCCCGGTCCTGGCGTGAATTGTGGCCTGCTCCTGACCTGACGTGGATCTAAACCCTTGCGTCTGACTGATGTCCCCCCAGACCCTCAAGATCGACAACATCCGCTACGACTGCACCACGGAGGACCTGCGGGAGCTGTTCAAAGAGTAAGTGCCTAGTCCGCGATCCCGTCGAGAGCCCGCCCGGGCTGGGCCCTGCCTCCCCCTGTGCCACCTGAACGGCCGGGGACCCTCCTGTGTGTGTCTGAGCCCCTTCTAAGCCGCGATTTACTCCGACTGTCTGCGCACGGAGGGCGGAAGGGAGGGCGGGAAAGTGAGCGAGAGGGAGGAACGAGGTGGCGTCGTGGCAGCAGTGGCAGAAGTCTGCGGGGAAACGTGTTTTGCTGTGTGCCTGTAGCGATTCCAGTGCTAGCAGTGACAGAAGTCTGCGGGGAAACGTGTGTTGCTGTGTGCCTGTAGCAATTCCAGTGCCAGCAGTGACAGAAGTCTGCGGGGAAACGCGTGTTGCTGTGTGCCTGTAGCAATTCCGGTGTCAGCCCCCCGGGCGGCTCGCGAACAGAAGGCGGAGACTTGGACGGCGTGCCTGTCCCGGCCCCTGAGGCGGCGCTTGGTCGCAGTCCATGGCGCCCCCGAGGTCTCTCCGCCTTGGCGCTGTCGCCGTCGCCGTCCTGTCTGACCGCCCCCCCTCACCTCACTGTCTATCCCTCCCCCTCCCA